GTATAATAGATAGTATAATTATTTAAAATTTTAAAATAGCAAAAATTCACTAAATAATAGCAGTTTAACTCATCTAAAATTAAACTAAATCTAACCATGGTTAGTTAGTATAGGCCTAGCTAGGCCTAGCTAGGCCTAGTAGCAGATTTTATAGTGAAACTCAAACCAAATCAGAATAGATCAGGTTTGGTTCTGATTTCTAAGATTTAGACTTAAAATCACAGCAGTTCGGTTCCAACTGGTTTTAAACTCGCCCAAACTCAGACTGAATGCAACTCTAGTTGCGAATAGCTTCAAATATCATGAAATTAGAAGTTATGCTGTGGTTAGAAGTTATGGTGTGGTGCACCCACACTAGGAAGCAGGGTGGGGGCACCTAGCACAGATAAGAATAGCTGAGATCTCCGTGCATACTGGAGTTGTCGTTCCCAATACCATCGTGGCTCGTCTTCGCAGGTTAAGGAGACTCTCGCGGGGCAATTCTGGTGGGGTCTGATTATATAAGCCGATACCCAAGACAACTCACGGAATATTAGGCTCTTCTCGTCGAGTATAGGGAAACTTCAACACGCCCTTAGTAGAAACGAGAAATTCTCGCAGATTGTCATTTTGAATGCCGGTGATTATTATGTGATAGCATGCATCTGTCAGATTGGCCGGATGAGAACTTGTTGGAATTTCACCTTAGAGATGCTCACTGCTATTCACTTCCAGGGGGAAGAAAAAGACCTTGGAACAGCCATTTGTGGATTGTTGCCCAAGGGGCAGAAGGCAACAAGGCTGAAAATACTAGACACAACTATTTGCTCATGATTGGTTGATATCATGTCCAGCCAGAACCTATATGAGCTAATCATTCAGGGGAGCACTGGATAAGCACCGCCTTCGCACCTAAATTGCTCAGATAATGAATTGCTCATATGATGCAAAACTTTCTTTTCTCCAGGTAGGACCATTTCGCATAATGAGTATTTTTGAGAAGTTAGGTGCGTGCCATTCTGGGCCTGACGAAGGACCATAAGGCACATTTGATAGCTTAATAGTATTTCATCCATTGCTGGAAGGCTGCAATTGAAGCCAGAATCTGATTATGTTAGGAGGGCCCATGGAGGTTGCAGACTGTGAAGATTCCAGAATTGTAACATTTGTCAGTTTATAATACTGAACAGATATACACAGTTGTCAATTGTCATTACAATGAATACTAGTTCATGCCCTAACCTCATATGGCCTTGCTGCTCATGGATAATGGAGTTTCTGGGTATGTCAGCCCATGCAGGCACAATGTCAGAAATTCATGGAGTTGGCTGTATAAGTGCCACCATTATGAATGCTCTTGCCAGCGATGAAGTTGCCAGTAAAGACTTGATGCATTGACAACAGGGGAGGTGCACTATGATGATGTCCATCTGTAGTTGGCCTCTTTGTTGGTCTCCATATCTTCAGTATACCTTTTGTGCAAGCTGCTGCTGTCACAGCCGCATAATATTGCCATCCTTTATTTTTATGGCTATCTGTATAGTCACATACCCCCTTTACCACGATGGTTGGTATATTCTCCCACAGTCGAGCCCCTTTCATTTTAAAGGCGATAACATGTTCCTGTGTAGCGATGCGGTCTCAATGTTGGGCAGACTTTATGACCTAGTCTCCGGAAGCTATTGCACCAAAATATATCCTTGGATGGTTTGAGATGCCGCTTGCTTTATTAATCACATTCTGGATCCGAGCATGAGGAATTAAGTGGCTTGCAGCGCACCTGAGCTCCACACATGATAAGATCAGAGCATCTTCGCAGACACTGTCCTTAGGATTAATGCAGTTGGCACAGATCGCACAGGCCTGTGCATCTTGATGTTTATGGCGGTAAGTCTTCTCAAAGAGCTTATCTTTGTAGACTCCGGGATACTTGAGATTCTTGGGGTTTTCTGCATTGAAGAGGGTGACAGTATTGGTTTGAATTTGCTCTTCGAGTGTAGCCACTTTGGTTTGTAGACTTGATATGAAGGCTCTGATTTCCTGGTTGGGTCTGCTGAGATTGTCCTGTGCTGTGTTTTTGCGAATGAAAGTATCTGAGTACTGTCGTCCAAAATCTGATTGAACAATCTGTGTGCTGATGACGATATCCCCCAAGGTAATTTCCTCTTTTCCACCGTCTACAAAAGGCACACCTCCACAGATGCCGACCAACAAGGCAAGACGAATATGGGGGAAACTTGAACGCAGAGTGGCTGCAACATTGGCAGCTGACGCCTTTCCAATATGAGACATATGGACTAACAGCACATGATGCTGGCCCAGCCGACCAATGGTATAGCTATTAGTATCTCCGTCAGATTTCTCGTAGTGCTGCTGTTCTTGCTCCCAGAAATCATCAAATAATGCCATCATGGCGTCTACCTCAAGGCTCAAGGCGCAGATAATGGCAACTTCAAACACAGTACAGTCTCGAGGTCGACTGTGAGTGTCAGAAGACATAGTCAACTATAGTCAGGGACTTAGCACTTGCGATCAGACAATCAACTGTGATAATAGGGCAGCGACTCAGATGGCCAGTGCAATTGCACAAGAAAGGAACAGAAGAATTAAATCAGAATCACACTGATTACCTTCAGAAGTGGCTCAATGTTCGGGGCTGGGAATGACTAGATATTTATTATTTAACTATACAACAATCGGGCCCAAGAGGGATTAACGTAAGACAGTATCTTACTTTTCTCTTAATTGGCTGCTACGCTTAGGTTGCTCTCGAGGCCAGGATGGCGATTGGTACCCCGCATGCGGCTGGTCCCAACACTTCAAATCATCTCTCTCCCGAATTGAGGTATCTACCTTGAGATGACAAAATTGACTTGAATGCCATCACTATATCCAACTTCATGCTTCAATAAAATCATCTATATCAATCAAGAGCTAGCAGCAAGCTCGCTTAGAATCTCATCAGCCGCCTTCTCAGCTACCATGTAGGTAGACACAGCCGTGAAAGTACCCGGGATCTTGGGGTAAACGGAAGCATCAACGACACGGAGACCAGAGACGCCACGGACACGGAACTTGGAATCCAACACGGCCATGGGGTCGTCATCAGCACCGATGGGACAAGTGCAAGAGGCGTGGTGGCCCCACGCGGCGTCCTTGACGTAGTTCTCGATGTCTTCCTTGGAAGTGACGGCAGCACCAGGGAGAACCTCGGTGACATTGACGAGTTGGCGCTTGAAGGCGTCACGGGCAAGGTCGATGGCTTCGTAGAGGGCAGTGAGATCGGCATCATAGTCGCCAACACCGGTGTCGAAGTAGTTGAAAGTAATTTTGGGGACGTCGAGGGGATTGGCGGACTGCAGGGCCACGGTACCGGCGGTGTTGCGGGGGTGAGCCTTCAGGATAGCCCAGGTGAACCAGTTGTGTTCATCGGTGGCGTTGATGCTGTAGTCGGGGAAGTAGCCACGGAAGTTGACCGGGCCACCGAAGCAGAAGATGTCGAAGCTATCATCGGCAGTCACGGAGCTCTTGTACAGCATAGTTGCAGCGAGACCGGGGGACGAGTAAATACCGCGGTCACCCAGGATAGGAGTCTCCCATCGGTTAATGCAGGGGTCAGCCTCATCGTGGATGCTAAAGGTGCAGCCGTTCAAGCAGGAGAAGTCCTCCTCGATCTTGCCCTGTACGGAGATTTCGTAGTGGTCCTGGAGGTTGGTACCGACACCGGGGAGATCCTTGATGACCTTGATGCCAAACTTGTTCAGCTCGTCGGCGGGACCGATACCACTCAGCTTGAGGATTTGGGGCGAGTTGTAAACACCGCCGGCAACGATAACCTCACGGGAAGCAGTAGCGGAGCCAGGAATACCGGCAGAGGCGGTCTTTGACAAGGGGCTAGCCTTGTAAAGATGCTGGCCATCGAGGAACTCGACACCAGTAGCACGAGGCGGGTCAACAGTCTCATCGAAAGTCACCTTGGTAACATGGGTGTTCATGCGAACATCAAGAGGGTACTTCTTGGTGCCGTCGGTGTTCTTAGCATCCCGCACGGCGATAATGAATTCACGAGCACCATTACGGTGAGCGTCATCGGTCGAGATGGGGATTTGATAGTAGCCAGAAACAGTATCACGGGTAGTCGTATCAGCATTAGCATCGCCAGCCAGCAGGGTGGCAATGTTGATGACATTGTCAGTCAGGTTACCAAGAGCAAAGGCACCACCGGTAAGCATGCTGAGAAGTTGTGGGTCCTCGAGGACAATGCTCAGGGGAGCGGTCTCGGTCTGGAGCCATCCATCATAACCATGACCCTCCATTCCGGGGAGCAGGTAGTGGTTCCTCTCCAGTTTGGCAAAGTACTTGCGCATATTGTCAGGCGACCAAGAGCTGTCGCCAGTCAAGGTTGAGATGTATTCAAAGTCGGAGTGGTGGGGGTAGACAGCAATCAAAGCGTTGTGGGCAGTACATCCTCCGAGGGTACCTAAAGTGACAATACATTAGGATCTTTAGAACTGTTTTTCAAATTGAAAGTATCTTGCATACCAGTACGAGGGTAGAGTGTTCCCATCAGTGTCGAGCCTTCAGGAGGGTTCAGACCAGTATATAGTTCGCCACTGGGCGTTTCGTAGGTAGTCTTGAAATCACGAGCCTGGCGCTCATCATCAGCATAGTGGTGAACGAAGAAGTTCCATGCGAGCTTCTCATCCTCAGAGGCTCTGGCCGAGTAGGCAGGGATGGTATAGTTGAAGGTTTCACCCTGGTCATCACCGGCTTCAAGCAGCAAAGTCTTGTGGCCAGCCAGAGCGAGGCGAGCTGCCAGTGGACCACCACCAGCACCGGAACCAACCACGACATACTCGTAACCGGTGATATTGACGGCCTTGGCGACGCCAGCAGTGGCGGCCAATAGGCCAAAAAGACGAGGAATAATCATCTTCAAGATAAGGAATGGCTATGAGTGAGTGGTAAATCTAACGTGCCGGGATTCCATCCAAGCTTATATATCATGGTGGAATTTGTTTCACCCCTGAAATACCATAGTCCTGATAATCCATTCTGGCACTCCCTCAATTTTCCACTCTCGCTAAACGCCGTTGAAATCCGTTGAAGTTGTTATGCCGCGGCTGTGGGGAGACTCTTGCTCATGGACTTGTGGATAGGGTCCACCCGCCGACAGCTTGTGTCTAGCCCGTTTCAAGCAGCAATCACCGAACCATCGTCAATAAGTTTAATTTGTACTCTGCAGAGCTCACCTGCCATCCCTGTTGATCTTCAACGGGGATCCACATTAGGCGTCGGTGATTGGTCCATTCGAGACCAGAGTAGGATCTGAGCACCCTCTATGGGCTGGTGGACCTGCTACACCGGGTTGGCCACTGGGTGGTATTGAGGGAGTTTGCGGAGCACTTGAGTTTCTTGCTCAAGGCGATGAGAAGGAAGGTGCTAGGGAGTTGGTAACACCTTTAGGACCCTAAGCCCCAGGCCCTGGGCCCCTTTGCGATTGCACAGGATGTAATCTCCCCATAGGTTTAATGATAGACTTAGGACGTCCGATGTCCGATTGTTCAGCGGTCTTGAATTTCATCGACTGGTTGTGAGTGGGAATTTTTCCCATGCGGGCACGCTATCCTGTATCGAAACTAGAGCCTGGTCAACCGTGTGAAAATACCTGGAAATAGCTGCGAAAATATTGACTAGTATGGAGTCAACAAGCTGACAGGTCAGTTGTGCCAAGAGGTTGCGGACAAGGTTTTTTCAGGGGGCGAATCCTGCTGGCCAGATTCACTTATTCTTGAATTGGAAGAGTCATTGACTACGCTAACTATCTTCTCTCTTAGTTGATTCAGGTCTTGCTTTTTAGGGGATTCATGGCCCCTGAGTTGGAACAATCAACACAGCACGTAAGAAATCATCTGATGAATCTCACAAGAGCCTTGATTCTCGACCACACAACAAAATCACTAGTTCCTTGGAGTCCTTCCACCGTCACAGATGCCCGGGACGCAATAGCTACTATCCTTAAACATAGCCAGCAATTCTTCCTGCCACCAATCCTTACCATCTCTAATCCTTATCACCTCAAATCCGTACCACTTACCACCTCCAATCCTTACCACCTTCAATCCTTACTGTCGGAACATATTCACTGTTGCCACTATGGCCATGCCAATCATTGGCATTGCCTGTGGCCTGAGTATGCGCTACTTATGTATTAGGACTAGCAACTGATGACATAATCTCACGCTTATCAGCGTCTGGGATTCAGGGGCATCCTGAACCGACGCTGATACGAAGAGAAGGACATCTATCTAACATCTATCTACATGAATTAATTGACTTTTGCTTTACGAGTATACACCCTATCTACTTAACTGTGTACACAGTACCTAGCTGGTGATACCAACAATTTGTACAACAGGGCCTATATGCAATATTATTTAGCTGCTCTAATTCTCCCCTGCAGGGCTGAAGGGTAGCCCCATCAGCCCTAGCCCTGAGCCCTTCCCCTGTGTCCTTGCTTCCTAGCCCAGCAAACTATGTACAGACTACCTATCGTGGAAGGTTATACCGGAGTCAAATGCTGTGCCGAGCGCAGGGCCATCACAATTCCCTTATATCTGCACAATCTTCTGTATTTCCTAGCTGCTTAAGTAGCAGTGCATTCTCCCTTGCATTATTTGCATTTGCTTAGCGATGCTGACTAGCCATGGTCCGTTCGGAGGTTGATGAGCATAAAGTATTTCGTACCTTTTGGACTTTTTTTGGGCGGACTAGCTCGGAAAGGCAGTCCAACTTCCCAGTATCACGCCAACTGATTGTATCGCCAGGTTTTTCTTAAATAACTTCAAAATCCTGCTTTTACTAATCAATGCTCATAGCTGGTCTGATGCTGACAAGCTGGCGAGGATTCTGAGGTGTTTGAAAAGCAGATGATACTGAACCTTCAAGAAGTGGTGGTGTTGGCGTACGAAGCTGAAAAGTAATCTTTTCAAGAACCCTGTCTTGATTTAGTGGCTTAAGACCAGATCCTGCAAAGCACTGCATATATTCTCTTGATTAAAGATCATCTCACGCGCAGGAGGATATAGATGTAGAAAATCCTCTTTATCAATGTGATTGTTCCCAGCCATCATCATCCCTTTAATGAGTTTCCCATATGCGCGCTTAAGTGGGCCAAAAACACCAACATCCAGTGGTTGTAGAAGATGAGAAGTATGAGGTGGCACGCAGAGACAGATAATTGCATTCTTGTCACAGAAAGTATCAAATTCTGGAGTTAAATGACTAGAATGGCTATCAAGAATAAGCAACCACTTTGCACCACTTGAATATCGCCTAGAATACGGCTCAAACCCATCTTTTAACCAGCGGAGACCTATCTCATCTGTTGTCCAGCCATTTTGACTAGTTGCAATTAACCAGTCTTGAGGAAGCTTAGGTTCTTGATACCAAGCAGCCTGGTGTTGTTTTACCTTCAGGATGACCACTGGTGATATAGGTAGCCCTTTAGAGCTAACACATTCAATGATAGTAACCCATTCCTAATTGCCCTGGATGACTGTACGAGGTCTCCTACTGCGCTCTACTGCAGTAATGACCTTAGATGTTGTACAGAGTTCCATTGTAAAGCCAGTTTCATCAAAGTTCCAGATATCATCTTCATGAATGCCATGTTCCTGAATGGCTTCATGTACGGCTTTAAACCACTGTTTTATAACCTTTGGATTCTCGTGCTTTGCACGCTGGTATGTAATCCTTCGATTATATCTTGCATGTAGTTCAGGAGGCACACTAAGCAGTTAGTTCCTTCCTCACGGTCATATAGATCCCAACAGCCAGTAATCATTTTGTCATGGAAACTGTCTCATATTCTTTCTGGGGTGCATCAAGCATTGTTTTGCTAAGTAATCTCTTCTCCCTACACTACTTGTACTCTCGACTCATCGAACAATGATAGATGGCTGCTGATGATTGAAACAGCAAAGAAAAGAAGTTATCATGAAGAGACGTCTTATAGTTCTTTATAGATATCTAGGTCGTTTCACTCCCTTCTGATATAGCTAGCAATGCATCTGAGCTGATCTGTTTCTCTTGTTGGTAAGCCTTAGTTTAATATTCAGATTCTTCATCGCTAGCTCCGTTATTGTCGATGTGTCTTTTGGTATTTGTAGCTGACTGTGAGTCCTCCATATTTCCCTGCTTCCGCTTCCCAGTTTTAGCGTCGAAAGAACGGACGTAATCCCAAAGATTGGCCATTGGTGACTGAGTGTGCTCCATCTCTGAATATACAAGAACCAAGGGCAGACTGCTAATACGCTCTATAATATCCCTTGAGTTGATTAGACCGCGGAAGGTAGCAAAATAGTGATTGTTTTTGAATTGACCAATGAAGACACCGTTTTCACAGGCTGTTTTGCGTAGCTAATCAACCATGCCAAGGGCATTAAACGCACCCCCATCCATAAGATTAAGTCTTCCACTGTTGATATCCCCAGTGTGTAAAAACAGATACTTCTTGTTGATCTCAGTCAGATTGAAATCATTGAATCCGGGTGCCCACTACGCAACTGGCCTGCTTTATAGTAGGAGAGTCGCCTTAGAACTATTAATTCATCATAAGGGGAATTATTTATTTAGTCCAGCTAGGCAACATGGTGTGAGATCAGGTATATGATTATCTATATTCTCCTTATTTACTAATAGAGCTAAAGGGCTTATGATGATTTAGATGCATATAGATTAACCTGAAGATTTTTAGTCAGGTGTTAGACAGTTTATAAGTCTAATAGAGCTACTTGTAGCAACATACTAGGTTAATCTAAATCACCTAGTAGGAGTTCAAAAAGATAGATAATAATTTCAGGAGGGAGGGGAAGATAATATATTTCTAAATATAATAGGCTTAAGTATAGACTAAAGCAGCGTCCAGTACTTATAAAAAGAATGAAATTTTAAGATATATATTTACCAGAAGCAGTTGGCCTACTGTCTCAGGGATTACTAATGGAGCCTGGGCCAGATTGATCAATGCATTATCATGGTTAAGGAGGGTCATGATAGAGTATGTCATGATATTACGTGTGAAACTCCATCATGCTTACGTGATAAATCTAGAGTGCTGGACAGGACACATCAGCAGAATAGGGGTTGAGTGGGGTCACTGGGTGAGCAGTATTGAGGTTTAGGTGGTTCAGCTGAGCTTCAGGTAAACAAGGCTAAAGAGGGTGAAGAGAAAGCAGCAAGGGCACTAACCAATAAATCAAAAAAAAATAGGTGATCTGATATACAACAGCCGGGATTCACTGGTGGTCACCCACCTAACTACTAACTAGCCGGCGTGTGGCTTAAGTACGGCTGAGCGGACGGGAAGCCCTGTTTTCCACACCCTATGGTCGTATGTACTAGAAAGGATGTAGTATTTGGAAAATATAGTGTAAAAAGCAAGGATTGTTTGCGTATATAAAGTGATTTCAAGTCCAAATCTTAGAAATCAGAACCAAACCTGATTTGTTCTAATATGATTTGAGTTTAACTATAGAAATCTACCACTAGGCCTAGATAGGGCTAGTGAGACCCCTACTAACTAACTATAGTAAGATTCACTTGGTTCAGTTTTTGATTTATATAACCTAAAAGGGTTAATTTTAATGGGTTTTCAATTTTAATTTCTCCTACCTCAGGGGCATATCAATCATGCCTATATAAAATATATAGTAATTATAGTAATTTTAATCTATATGTAAAATATCAATTCAAATGTCTATAGGGTTAAATAAGTGGTGGTTAAAATCATCCTTAGACTATAGTGATTGTTAGAAGGTTGATTTTTAAATATACATAAAACTATCACCACTTCCATACCAACCTATGACAAAGATAACTATTCCCTTATATCTCACCAACCACAGGATATTTTCAATTAATATTTCAGAT